TTAAATATGCCCATGTGTCATATCATTTTCGAGTTTGGCGAGTTCGATTTTGGCGAGGTAGCAGCCATATGCAACGACGCCATGTAACTCCCATGATCGTACTGGGACGTTTCTGAGTTTCATTAGCGCACACCCACATTGAACGTACACTTTCTTTTATAATATACTGATATTTATTAGAATGGATTTGATAAAAAAATATACAGTCGAACATAGAACCTCCTCCTTTTTTGAAATAGGTTAAAAAATCAAATTGTGTACAGACCAGACTGATTTCTATAAGCACCATTTTAGGTGATGATTCGAATTGCTCATGCGAGCGGTTTTTGACACGATCCAAAGACAAAAAGTGGTGTCTCTTCCTTTTTTCTAACATAGCTGTTTGGAACTAATTCCAACAATTACCCCAGTATTTTATAAAAAAATATATTACTCGCAACACTGGTAACATAAAAAAGTAACATATGAGTATAAAAAACTGTAGGCATATTTTTAAACTAGGATAAGAAATAAACAAATGCTGCTTGGAACTCAATGTTATATTGAATTAAGTAGCTCAACCATACGACTTTCCATACATGTATCAGCTTATGTCAAGGTTTTTACTATTTCTGTGACAGAATCGATTGTTTTCGGATCGCACTTTAAGAACAAAATTTATTTATATGAAACTTTTAATCAACATATTTAAATTAATGTTAAAATAAAATTACTCCAATTATAGCTATAATGTAAACTAAACATGTATTCTTAGGTATAATGGTACAAGATAAAAATATTTCAGCTGGAAAAAATAAAACAGGCGGACAATATGCCAGGTCAATTTTTTATTATGAAAAAAGTGGCTAAATCTACTGCATTACCCAACTACGTTTTATTGTTTTATTAATATAATTTAATAAACAACAAAAATAAAACATAAATACAGCCTATAACATTTTAACAAATGAATGGAGCTCAAGCAGCGTAGGTATTGAATACTAAAATCTATAAATAAATCAGTTACAATATAAAGTACATAATAATATACAACTCAACAACAAGCACAATTTGATCTGAATTCCAGGATTATTTTTAAATGCACTGCGTGTGTTAAAATTCGTGCAAAACAAATACTATAAATTTTGAAGACACGACTGAACAAGAAACTGACCTTTGTGAACCTTAAGTAAATGAGATTTTTGTGTAAGGTTATGGATGTTTTCATCTCCCATTATCTTTATGACGATCTGAGAGTTAAAAAAAATCTTCTAATAAAAGCAAAAGATAAGCTTGCGATGAGACATACCGAAAAATCTCTTCACTTCAAATGATCTTAGTAACAACTACCTGTATAAATTTATCAAATCTTGGCTAGGCTAGATACACAGTCAGTCGCGGGAAGCGACTTTGTTACACGACTGTCAAAAAAGGAATGCATTTTATATAATTGATTGGTGTAGTTACGATAAATAATGGAAAATAAGAAATCAAGTTCCAAGAAGTCCATTTAAAAAATAAAAAATGTTTTTATGACCTCATTCTGCTTTTCATTTTCTGCAGAAAGAGTCCTAAGATTACAATCCTACTAAAATTATAAATGTGCAAGTATATACCTAAGTTTGTTACTCAATCACGCAAAAACTACTGAACGGATTTGATGAAATTTGGTACGCATAAAAATTATGACCTAGTGTGAAACATAGAATGTTTTTTATTCCGGAAAAATGTTAGGTACGTGTGGATAATTCTCATGAAACTAAACTAAAAATCTAAATCGCAAGCGGCAATATTTTTTTAGAAGGAAAGTTCATGTTTTTAAAATTTATAATTGTAATATTTTCTAAACGACATAGATGATACAAAAGAAACTCCACAATTTTTTGGTGATATGAAAAGAAACCATACTCAATATCACAAATTTTGCTCTTTTGCTATTTTTTTATTACCTTTTTCTTCAAAGTTGCCAATTTACTGACGGACGGTTGCTACTAGGGTAGCGACACCCCTTTTCGGCGTTGAAATGTTGCTTTATTAAATATAAGTATGGGACCGTATAGATTAACTAATTCCAAGCCACTTTTATTTTATAAAATTTTTACTGAAAGCAAATACTTTTCCAGATATTCAAGAGTGGATACGTATTTTTTTTAACATTTAAACCAAGTTTCCATAAGAATGAAAAGACGGAATAAAAATTTAGCCAATAAAAAAAGCAAAAAATAGTGGGTGTACTGGATCCAATACTAACGGATTAATCTTAGCTTGTTAAATGTCGGTTCTTTTCCGTCAAATGCCGAAATCGAAAGCTTCAACGCGAAATAGCCAAAAAAAACAATAAATTTTTCGGGGATAACTCATACATTTTTTCACACACGTGTGTGTGTCTCACAACATGTGATAAGATGAAGGACTCTACTCTATCAGTGTTGTAATATACGTAAATATACGTGTTTTGTTATTAACTGTTCAAATTATGCGATTGGATGTTTTTACCATAACTAGCTAAGTTTTTTTTGAACATCAAGTACAAGTAACAAAAAATATTTTGTAGGTTTTTAAATGTTTACTTTTAAGTTCTTAATTTTCAAAAGGTTTGAGCTGAAAAAGCTTGTATTCGTTACTATTTCGAAACATATGCAAACTCGAAACGGACAATTTACAATATATTTTTCAAAAAGAAAAAAAATAAAGTGTTAAGAAAAAACCTACATTATTGATTGCCTCAGAAATTTGCGTTTATTTAAAATTTTAGCGTTATTTTTAAAGAAAGACATTATAAACTTGCAAAAAAGGTCTCTTTATTTCAATCTCATTTTTTTTAACTGAGCATTTTAAACAGGCAATCTTATAGGGCATAATAATATTACATAACTAAATAAATTGTAAAGTCATAACGATCATTTTCAATTGAAATGCCAATTGGGGAGTGATTTTTTAAATTCCCACCACCACCAAAAATCTAGGGACCCATTTTGTCTTTGTTATAACTCGCTTAATTTTTAAAGTAAGTACATCCATAAAAAAAACAAAAATAAAGCTTTTTCAAGCACTCAAAAAAAAACTATGAGCTTTCCCTGAAATGCATTGTTTTTGGATATTTACTTTTAAAATAAGATCCGAAAGCCGCTAACCTTACTTATTTTCATGGAAAAAATATAAAATCGATATTAAATTCAAGTGGTATTAGTGTGTACAATGAAAGTATACATACTTATATTTTTATTTTATAAGCATTTAACTGCTGGTTGTTTAAATCCAAAGAATACTATACATACATATTTGGCCCATCTTCAGGTATCAAGTAGCACAGGCACGTAAAAAATTTACTCACTTTACTTACAATCTGAGGACTGATTCTTACGTATGTTGCAGAGAATATTGTAAACAATTTGTCTATCAGCAGTATTTATTGCCAGACACTTAAATGTCGAAAGCAAAAAACACTAACTTACATACAGTGCGAGACCTGATATTATTATGATATTAAAGGGGCTATTATTATATTATTAAAGGAAGCCTTCTATAATAATTGAATATTTTTTTTAACAAAAATATTGTGGAAAATAAGTAAGGTGTGTTTTTTACTTCCGACATTAAAAGTGTCTGGCAATAAAAACTGCTGACAGAATATGTCAGGCAGCATTAATTTTAAATTGTCTACAATATTCTCTACAACAAACGTAGGAATCATACCTCAGACTGTAAGTACAGTGAGTAAAAATTATAGTGCTGAAAATTGACCCACCGCAGAAGTTAGCGAGTATTTAAACGTTAATTTTACGTACTAATACTACTTGATTATCCATATTTTGTCCATGAGAAAATAAGTTAGGTCTGGGGGTCTTAGAATCCGATGCTATTTAGTTTTTAATAAAATATTATTTTTCATGCCCAAAAAGGGTTGACGTCCATACTCAGGGTTATACCAATCCTCATCACATTGACAACTTTGAAGTAGAAGGTAAATAAAACATAGTCAAATTTTTATGCTAATTGAAGTTGTTTGGCAGAATTGCTAGGGAAACCGTGCATTGGCTGGATTAATAACTAAACACTGGAATTAAGACACAATATTTACGTCACTTTTTCATAGAATATTTTGTAATAAGTGCTTTTTATTAGTCGACAAGTCTGCAAAGTTAACGCAATGGAAACTGAGAAAACTTAATGTGTTACGGACAAAATAACCTTCTTTAGAGACATTAAAAACCAAAAAAGAAGAAGTCAAATTGAAACTGCGCGAGTTGTAGCCGTTTTATTTCGTCATTTACTCACATTAAAAATAAATCATTTGAATCTGAAACAACAGGTTAATGTTATTTATTTTCTTCGGTGAATATTTTTCTTAGCTATATTTTCTTTAAATTCCTTCAACTAACGACAACTGTCTTTGTGTCGTTATTTATGCACATAATTATGTATTGGTGAAGGGTTATGATCGAGTTCAATTTCCTGCTAAATATAACTAACATCGAGGGAACAACTGTATCTAAATATATATATAACAGAGTTAAAGTAGATATACAAATATTATTATAATTCATAAACACCACAATCAATATAGGCTTTGCAGAAAGGGGAATAACTTTAGTTCTATAATTTATAGAACTTTATACCATTTTTTGAATTTTATTTTTATGTTGTACGTATCCTCATCATTAAATGAAAAAAGGGTTTTCAAATACTATAGTAGGTGTGCATAATATTTATATAATATTACGTTACATTTTAAAGGAGCAAAAAGTACCAATTTCATTTTATAAGTGTCTAGTTAAAAAATTGTATATTCATTGAGTTAATAAATTCGCACGTGTAACTTTGTGAGTGGGTATAAATAATGTAATTATCGTAGAAAGCGATTAGTAGAGGGGTTTGGTGAGGCGCGCGCGCGTCGCGGGCGCAGTGGCCCCGCGGAGAGCGCGCATGCGGCCGCAGCGACACGGCCCGCCCGCAGCCTGCTGCCCGCTGCCCGCTGCCCGCTGCCCGCCCGCGCCACGCCGTACCCGCGCCCGCGCCATCACCCGCGCCCTCTCCGCTCCGCCTCACACGCAGCGTTGACCCTCGTATAAAGCGGAGGCACCGCCACCACTCTCACGCAGTCACGAACCCACTATCTAAGTGCACTCGCGATCCACGCGCTCGACATCTAAATAGTAAACAGTGAAAGCAGTTTCTCGGTGTTAAATTATTACAATGGCCGACGACTGGGGATACACCTGCGAAAACGGTGAGTTCATTATCAAGATAAACTGGAAGCTGCAAGCGGTGTTTACAATTTGGTTTTCCTTGTGCATCCGGACCGGTTTATTTACACCGAAGCACGTGACATGAAGTATTGGCCGCGTAAACAAAAACTATTCATGTGGCAAAAGATCAAAAAAAGTTAAATTCAGATGTTTTTATTTAAATTATGTCTAAAATTAATTGTAAACCATCAACATAGTACCTACATTTGTATGTAATATACGAATGCGCAAGCAAATTATTTGTCAACAGACAAACCTACACTTGAACTTGGATGTCACTCTCTCGTGAAATACTAGTTGCCTTATTGTATTTTTTATTTACATCATTTATGTAAAAACATTCTGCCATGAGTACTTTGAGGTAAAATACACTTGTTTTTTTAAGAGTCATATTTGGTTCTTAAAAAAATATTTTCACGAAATACCTTAATATTATTATGAGTATATAGAAAATAAAATTTAACTTTTTAAGGACCTTAAAGGACCAATTAATATTCGTAATTTAGTATGCTAAGAGGACGGTTTTTTATTCAAAAATAGAATTCAATAAGCTTACATGTTAGCACTAGTAGTCTATTCTAAACGGAGTTTAATACCTTCTATGTACCTACTTAAAAACCTTTCTCACGAACTCGAAACGAAAATCTTCTGACGAACAAAATAACTTTTAAGATTACGTGCAGAGTAATCGGGTCATGTTTTATTATACTGCATAATAACACTGTAAATTATCATTGTATTGCTTATTTTTTACAAAGTTCTACTTAATCAACATTTATTTTTTAATTACGTACTATATCAAATTACTACTGATAACTGAATTTTGTATGTTGTTTATACATAACAGTAATGAAATGTTATAATTAAAGTATCATTCATTTTCGTTACCTACTCAATCAAATCGTAAAATCGTTCTTCGATCAAATCCAAAAATTCAGATCATTTCTCCTAATTTAAAATTATCCTCTCTCAGTACCTAGTTATCATGAAATTCATAAGATGTTTTGTAAATGACGTGTATAAAAAATAATAATATATCGATGATATAATATGTATATGTAATTTAGTGCGTATTAAAAATGTTACTTACTAATAATATGTAATTCTATAAGTACATAATAACAATAGCATCTGATTTCCCATACAAACCGAGTGTACATCTACGTAAATTAAATTAGTCTGAGTAGGAAAATCTTCAGGCCGATAAGAAACTATAATGCACGCAGCTTAACATACGTGCTTAGTCAGTTCATTTCCAAGCAAAGTGCAACAATTATTATGAATAGTGAACAAAAGATAAGTATAGAATAATTACTTAAGAGCAATCAGCGTGCTAACAGAAACAACCATTGAGCCTAATGGTTACTTTAAACTTACGTCATTATAGTTAACAATCCATTCTATTTAAAGTGTCTAATTAAAGAATTTCTATAAGGTATTGTGTATTAAATAAGTATCAACGTGATTTACTGGTCATGGTAAATATTCCAGTTATAGCTAAGTATAACAGAAATAGTGAGTTTGAAGAGGTAAACTAGACAGAGAAAATGTAACCCACATTTTCATAGCCTTTACAACCTCACAATTTTCACTAACCAACGATCAGACCTCTCAAAAACTATTTTATTAGATTTATTTTTTAATTTAGAAGTATTCAGTGCCTAAAGCAACTTGTCATATTGTTTATACATATTAGGTATTTATTAAAATAAGTTTTAACCTCCTCCTTAGCAAAATTAAAAGTTGAATACTGTGAGACAAACAATGAACGGAAATTTGAAAATCAATTATTTCAGCAATCTATATAAGTTTAAATGTAAGTATATAAAAATCAAATGTTCGGCAGCTTGATCTTTTGTATTCGTAATCTTTAGTTGAAATTCGGTTTGAGAAAAAGTAGATTTTTCGAATATCATCGAAAATCCATTAGAAAATTCGGAAATCAGGGTGGTACTTTTGTATTTACACAACGACATTTCATACAGTAAAATGCACAACTGTAAAGCTGGGACGGGTGGCTAGTATATTTAAAAAAAGTTCGATTGAAACAATTGGGACTGAGCTAACGTAAGGAAGTTTTGTCTAAAGTATAATTACTGATTACCTCATAAAAATCCTCAATCGTCCGTAGTTTAAAACGTATGTTCATTATTTTAGCATTAAAATAAGACAGATTAGCCATGCTATTCATACATACAGCTACACAGGGGCTATTACGCTAATAAATCCAAAATAAAGCTTATAACTTTTCCTATACTTACATAATGATAAAAAGCATATTGTGAGTTATTCTACCGACATGACTATAACGTAAATTGAAATAATAAAAAGCTAAATATCATAATAACATTTTACAGTTTGATAATCCCAAAATTCCTTCACCCTTATTTAATAATTTTATTAAAGTAATTGCCTTTTAAGAATCCCCTTATATGAGCCATTTGACATCGTTTTGATGTCTTATAAGTTTATGATAGTTGTAAATTAAACTAAAACCCAAGTTAATTATACACAACAGACCCAATTCTCAAATATATCCTTAATTTATTTCTGTAGTTTTCTCTATGAATTAAAAAAAACATTATTATGATTCCTCTACAAACCCAATGATACTTAAAAATAATGATCAAGATGTAAATCGGAAGGACGGATAGGATAGTTTTAGGATGGACCAACAAATTGTTACTGATGCTTTCGGACCAGAGTAGACCAAACCATTGCCAAATCAAATGTCGTTGAGTTGGTCTTTAAGTGGTCAAAACCCTTTCTCGTAGCGATGAATCTTTGTTTCACTGTCAATATCCCAGGGGTGATATAGTACACTGTGGGGTTCGTAAGACTTGCGGGAGCCAGGTGTGAGGTCCGTTCGGCGGTGTGCCTCTTAAAGGCGCCGTCGTCTGTAAATAGATTTTTTACCTGCGTATTAAAAAAAAAAAAAAAAAAAGGGGTGATATAGTAAAATAGCTTTATATTGTATTTATAACATTAAACAAAATTTTGGATTTGTGGAGAGGAAAATTAATGGTTTCATTAGTAAATACGATGAGTTTGATAGTTACCCAATAGTTTAAAATATTGTTACAATAAAACGTGAAATAACTATTACCTACGTTAAATTGTCGCGAAAAGAAAATTAACACAAGAGGGGTCGGCTTAACTAACATTCTTACTTAACGGATTCCTAGAAACTAGTTTATTGTTATCGGAAGCCACTCAAATCTTCTGCAGATTCCGTAACTTGTGACAGTTTAAGGAACAGTTATTTGTTAAAAATGAATCCCAAGCAAACGAATTCGCCCAAGTTCGCACGTAGTTATATTTCCAATAATAGTATAAAAGTAATGGCTTACTTAATTTTATTATAGTAATACTAGCTGTCCCAGCGAACTTCGTACCGCCATAAAAAAATAGAGGTTGATGGTAGAAGGGTGAAAATTTTGGGTTGTATGTATTTTTATATGACGTATCATAAAAAAATAAGGGTGGACACATTAACATTTAGGGGGATGAAAAATATATGTTCTCCGATTCTCAGACCTACTGAATATGCATATATTTCAAGAAAAATCGGTTGAGCCGTTTCAATTCTGCTCACACCGTGACACGAGAATTTTATATATTAGATTTTATTAACGGTATTGCTGCCATGTGCCAGTATATAAAAATCCAGGTCTTTCATAATATTAAACAATAAAATAGAATTTAATAAGGTCTTATGATCACTCAAAGTGAAAGAGATTTTCAGCAAGTAAAGTTGCGGTTATATCTACAGTTTATTTTTCTCTGTCTTTTTAAGTTCTATTTATTTCTTTCAAAAAAAAAGGTTAACTTTGGGATAATCTGTCAAAAACCTGACATTTTAGCAGGCTTAAAGTATCCCACCTAGGTGATAAACTTATCCGAATTTCACTACGGCTGAACAGTCCAAACATTTATACAAACTTTAAGGAACGGGTAAATAATATAATCTTCTCCTATTTTTTCTTTTACCATTGTTACGCATGCATTTTTCATATTTACCAAATGACCTACGACGGCTTGGGTACTTGGGTACCTTTTGCCTCTGCAGGGTGTAATTTTCATATTTTTTTCGGCTAATACGATTTATCTATCTTTCAAAAGTTTTTCACGTTCCCGTATAAAATCAATTAACTGCAACCTGTACGTAAACATTGTCAAAAATATGAAATGAATAAAACATGTTGTTATGCTACAATACGTACCATCAGCATCTAAAGGAGATGTACGAATCTTATTTACGAGTAAGAATCCAGTCTATTTGATAAGTGGTTTGTCGCCACGTGTCTCTGTATAAGTACATACAGCCCTGTTAAGTATAAAATCAGTAAAACAAACCTTTGAGAAAGTTCAAATATTTCAATTATTATTTTTCAACACATTTACATACACTCAAAAAATAGTTATATTTATTATTATTTACATTGTGTGATATTTATGTTTTACATTATTCGAAAGTTCAAAATTACGGGCTATACAATGGAGCGTGCGGTAAAACATTTTACTGCACGCTCCCATACATGGCACCGTACGTATCCTGTATGTTTTTTTTTTCAATTTCTGTCGATTCTCTTTGGAAGCGCTTTTAATCTATACCTTTATCCTTAGATTATAACAAACCTTTGTCTCACTTTAGTACGCGATGTAGTTTTAAATTTCACCACCCGCACATCGCGCCATTTGGAAATGCGCGACATTTTCTTGTTGGAAAACAGTTTGCTTCATTACATAAATGACGTACTGATTTCTCGCAAATGTGTTGAAAAACGTTGTATGACATTAGTGCGTGCAACTCGTGACTAAGGCAAACCCTCGACTTCGTCTCGGGCTTACATTCGTCTACTCGTTAGAAATAACCAACTAATAACATAAAAAACTATTTTTCCATAAAGGCAGGTTGATCCCTTGGTAATAAGTAATTTAAAAACGGGAAGTATCTAAATGATGCTCTAAAAAATTATCA